AAATAAATAAATAAATAAATAAATAAATAATAAGTAATGTACTTATTCATTTATGTATCTCTTTTTGAATCTTTATTTGGGTTTTTATTTCGTGGCTTGTTTGGCGCTTTTTGCTGCTTCCCCGGTGGCAACTGTCTACGCAGCGCAGCAGCAGCAGCAGCCGCAGCAATGAGGGTTTAGGGTTTAGGGTTTGGGGTTTAGGGTTTACGGGCACGAGGGCTTCAAACAAGTCATTGCTTTCCGAGGCTTCTTCTTTCTCAGTATAAGGAGTAATCAAATTGCTGCTAAAGGTATGGGGGTGCCCCTCTAGGGGGCCCCCCAAGGGTACAGTCTGGGGGCCCCCTCCCCCGCTGCTCGGGGGGGGCCCCTCTGGGGGCCCCCCGGGGGGCCCCCCGGGGGCCCCCACAGACAGGGGGCCCTCCGGGGGGCCCCCAGGGGGCCCCCGAGAGGCCTGCATGCGCCTAGCCCATAGGGCCTCTAGCTGGGATGTGCTGGCAGCAGCTTGCAAAGTGCTGCTGCTGCCAGAGTCGCTGCCTGCTGCCTGCAGCAGCAGCAGCAGCAGCAGCAGCAGCAGAGGGGGAGGAGGTGGAGGCAGCGAGGAGGGAAGGAAATTGACGGGACGGGCAGTGGAAGGCCCCGAACACAGATTCAAACCCTAAACCCTAATTCCAAAACTTCCAACTCTAAACGCTAAACCCCAAACCCTAATCCCCAAACTTTCAACTCTAAACCCTAAACCCTAAATCCTAAGCTTTAAGTGTTAAGCCTAATCGCTAAACCCTAGATGCGCTTTTTAAAGACAGCCCAGCATAGGCGCGTTAGCAGGGAGAATCACCTAAGCTCTAAACCCTAAACCCTTAATTAGGGTTTAGCCCTACTTGGCTTACTTTTGGGTCTTTGGTTTCATGACGATCGTCATCATCTCGAGGAGTTCGAGTTGGAGTGCAAATGCCATCATCTGTGCTCACAAACCCTAAACCCTAAACCCTAAACCCTAAATTCTAAACCCTAACCCCTAAACCCCAAGCCCTAAATACTAAAGCCGGAGCAGCCCTTATCTCTGCATGTGGAGAGTCCGCTCGGGGCTCCACGCAGACCCAAAGTCCCAAACCGTAAACCCTAAACCCTAAACCCTAAACCCTAAGCCCTGAACTCTAATGAGGCGAACCTGCGGGGTTTCTCCAATTTGTTAGGGCCTCTGCTGGCAAGTCGAGGATTGAAGAACAATCCTAAAAAGAAAAAATTAAAAAAAGAAAAATGAAAAAAGAAAACTGAAAAATGAAAAATGCGAATGAGGTGTACGTACACCTCAAGGTGTCTGTACACCCCACCCAAGGAAAAGCCCAAATTCGGCAAGATCGAAATTTCAAAAATAAATAAAATAAAATTAATTTGATTTAATTTAATTAAATTATGCAATAATATTAATAAGATAAAATAAAAGGTTTTTGCAAATAAGTGAAGTAAGATAAAACAAAACTAAAAGAAATCGAAATACAACCAAAAGAAGAGAAGTCACAGGAGGGGAATAGGAAGACTAATGATGCAACATTTATTTATTTATTTGCTTAATTATTTATCTATTATTTATTCGTTTATTTATTTATTTATTTATTTATTTATTTATTTATTTATTTATTTACTCATTTGCTCATTTAATTAGTTGTATATTTATATATTTGTCAACTTATTTATTTATTATCTACCTATTTACTTTTTTATTTATCAACGATAAAAGAACAAAAACAAAACATGAATTAAAATTTATTCTCTCATTTTTTGCATGCTATTTACTTAAGAATTAACTAATCAATTAATTGGGTTTATTGATTTATTTATTTTCAAACATTTATTATCTATTTATTTTATTTATTTATTTTATTTTATTTATTTATTTATTTATTTATTTATTATTTGGAGACTCACCAGCAAAACTGGCCTGGCGCCTTCAATGGGCTTTATGATGTGCGAAGAGCAAAAGCGAAGACCTAAAAAGAAAAATAAAAAAATAAAATTTAAAATAAAACAAATAAATAAATAAATAAATAATAGAATAGACGTATAAATGGATAAATAAATAGATAAATTAACTGATTGATTAAACAATTAATGCATTCATATTATCAATTAATTAGTCAGTTAAAAACGGGATAAAAGAAAAAAGCGAATGGAAAGAGAAATGTACAAAGAAGAGAATAACAAAAAAATAACAACACACTAAAAAACAAAATGAAACAGATTAAAATAAATAAAATAAAACAAATAAAACTAAGTTAAAAAATTAAAAAAATAAATCGGAATATGTAAAATAAAAATTAAAATGAAATAAAACAAAATAAAATAAAATAAAATAAACAAATAAGAACAAATGGAATAATAAAAGTAAATAAGAGAGTAAAAGTCTTACAATAAAATAAATAATATAAAGATAAATGAAACAAATAAACATAAACAACTGAGATAAATAAAACAAAATAAATAAAACAAAATAAATAAAACAAAATAAAATAGATAATGACAAATAAAATAAATAAAGAAATAAAACAAAACAAAACAAAACAAAATAAAAAAAGCTGAAATAAAAACAAAACGAAATAAATAAATAAAATAAATAAAATTAAAAATAAATTAAAAAGTCTTACAAGCTTCATAGGCCCTCAAAATGCATCCGCCGTACATTTTGGCTGTAAAGGTTTTCGCCCGTTTGGCCCCAG